AAAACATTACCTCTGCCTGTCATTTATGTCCTAAATATCAATGAAAAGTTTTTTAAAGAGATAAATATTCCAATAGCAACTATCCCCATAAATAATTTAATACCAAATTTTAACAAAACATGATAAAACTGCTATTGTTACAATTCTTGTGAACCTTTCTTTACGGAAAATATTCCATAGAAGCATATACATAATATATGCATATTGTATATCAGCAATATTTCCGCACTATTTCATTCATCTTCCATGGCTATAATGTAGGACTTCTAGTCCCTCTGGAAATTAAACAGATGTAATAATCACCCGGCCAGCATCTACTCCCCACATAACAATGCAATTACACACACCGAGTTGCAAGAAAGTACAACTGTGATTGACATTTTGTAACTGTTTACTTCCATTCCAGAGGCAGCACCGACAAGAAGTAGAGGGAAACCATTCTTTTCTATATATCTGTGATCCAAGGAATTACTCATCAAATTCACCTTGTATGGGATTTACTTTGGCACTTTAACTTGCACCTACTTTGTTGTTATCCTGAATCCATTGCACACCAACCTTTACTGTTCACAAACGTATGTCATATTATTAACTACTGATGAACTAAAAACTGGTTTAGACCCTTTCTTTTGCAACTTGGACCACCAATATGAATGAGTTTGGATCCCAAGGGACTCTCAAAACTATAAAGGGAGGCAAGCCTCTGCTAAGTTTGGGTTTTATGTTCTCAAACTGTCTGTAGATGAATGAGTTACTACAATATGTTGGCAATCTATGAATAGATGCCTCAGGGAGATGCAGCAGAAGGAAACAAATGCCACTGTTGAACCTGTGAAAATCAAACCTGAGCTGTACAGCAAGAGATGCTTAGAAAATAACTGACTACTGGAACAACATCCAGTAAACCTTGATAAGATTGTATCTGCTAAGTATGTTCATATAAATAACAAATCAATACAGTTTCAAAGGAAGCTAAACTTCATTTTTTTTATACATGTTTTCTTTTTTACTTGAGAAATTTGGAAACCAACTTGAATACAAATTATCTGGGCTCTGAATGTCCAAACCACCGTTCATCTGTTATATTAAAAACACCATAGCAGAAAATTGTATATCATGACTGATGCACAGGTTCATATATTCTTCCAAGTAAAAATTATCTTACTATGACAATATTGAGCTGATGCAAAGTCAAAAGCTTTTCTACAGTAGTACGTTTGTGAAACTGTGTGAAACACAAGTACAGAACCACACTTCTTCATTGATAGAAATTTTCAGCCCAACATGACACATTAATACAAACTTAATGAAATCATTTGAAATTTAATGTGGTTTAAAACACATTGGTGCATTATTCGGAGTACCAGCATCATTGCCGAGAACAACGAAACAAAACTATCTGCAACATCTCCAGAGCTAGAAACTAAAATATTTTGCAGTACTTTTGGCTCTAACCTTGCCTTGTATGGAAAATGATACAATTGTGTTCATAACTTGTGATGTTAATGAGACTGGTTTTTTTTAATATTTTATTTTGCAATGACATTTTTCTCTGGTGGTTACTTGATGGTTTTGTTCTATCAGCCTACCAGCTACTAAATATTTCAATACATAACTTGGCTCTTGGTCAAACACTAGGAGGATTCAGTCTGGTGGATAAGTAGACACAACAGGTACAATAATTCCTTGTTTCCACTTTTAGTATGTAATTGTGACTATTATGAGAAAACCAAACAGGTTGTCTGGCCTTGGGTGATCACACAGCACTATTCATCACAATTAACTCGTACAGTCCAATGTCTGTACACTGAATTTCGACCCTCCACTCTCTTTTATTATTCAAAGCAACTTTACCCTTGGGTCATATAAAATTGATTACTATACGAGACACACACAGAATACCCATTCTCAACAGACCCCTATATTGGTAAAATTATTTCCATCCTCGCCACCAAAAACAATAGAAACTGTAATTCATCAATGCCAAATTTCCCACTTTCTCTCCTACATCATAAACCAGACTATCAATTGTATCAGCCCATATTATTGTATCTGTTAAATACCAAATATTTTGTATACTCTCTAACCCATTCACTTTGACATACTCTATACCTCAATACCTAGATTATGTTGTATGCTGCCTAATGATTGGTAGAATACATACATACCCTCTAAACCCAGATATGTTGTAATTTTCTAATCCAAACAGTAAATTTTATGTATTTTTATTCTCTCTCACACACTCTTTGAAACTCAGGGCTCTTATTAATGAAATAATTCTGTTTCTACAGAACTTCCAGCTTAACCAACTTATCTCCTCTGGACCGTCAAGATTAACTATCCAACCTGCTCCCAACCTTCCAACAGAACCAACAAACCTCATGTGAACCCTCCAGCCTAACCAACTTAAACCTCCTCTGGTCTTCATAATTAAACCCATCAACCCTCTGCCATACCCTCTAGCTTCCTTGATCTAGCAATCCATCATAGGAAAGTCATTACATCAGTGAAAAACCTCATTCCATTATGCATTGATATCTGTCCTCTGCAATAAAATCAATTTTTTATTATGTCCCTTTTCCATTAAGGTCTAAGTTAACTTGTGTGCTAGAAGCCCCTGTTACACCTCAAATTAGTATTCATTACTCGCCTCTCTGTGGGCAGAGTAATACTTCCTGTGATCCCCAAATCAATATCACACATCTACATATTTATATTGCAATGACATAAATCATCATTTCGCTGTCACCAAGGTCATTAGCTTTTGTTTTCTACCTGAACGACCTAGCATAAATCCTTTTACAGCACTATGTAATAGTCATGATTCCTCAATGGGTGTTGCCCTTTTTTTAAGTTAAAAATCTGTATCTATGAACTTATTTTGTCATTTTATTTCAGGAAAATGATAGCAAACTAGAAACAGAATTTTTTATTTGGGTTAACAAAATTTTCTTGAATGATAAGCTATCTTTACAGTTTTTATGGTTGTGATTTACCACAAAGTTTAATACAAGAGATCCCAGAAGGGATCTTGGCACCCACCTTTGTACCATCTTCATTAGTTCTTTGTCAGTTCGATCTTTTCTCTTCTTTCCTCTAATCTGTTTGATCGAGCCATGTTAACAGTAAATGCACCTTGAGGTAACTTTTGATCTAAACTTAATATTGATGTGTATGAAAGCCAACCTTCAAAGTGAGTTTGTCATTTCACATATTTACTAGTACAGTACTTAATGTAAAAGAAATAGAATCGATCATTGCAATATGAGAAAGATCTGTTTAGTTCTTTTAATCCATTTTGTTTTTATGATCAGTCTCAAAATATAACATGCACAAGGAGAGATCAAGGGGACCTACATATAAAATTTGAGAAAGATCCCTCTGGTATATCAAGAAATAGCGATAACAAACTTTCACAATCAAAATCCAAGATGGCTGCCTGTCAGCCATGTTGTTTATCCAATCAGTCTCTAAAATTGCCCTGCACAGCTAGAACCAAGGGGAACCTACATATAAAATTTAAGAAAGATCCCTCTAGTTCTTCCGGAGAAATAGCGGTAACAATATCAAAATCCAAGATGGCAGCCTGTCGGCCATGTTGTTTATCAGATCAGTCTCAAAAGTTGCCCTGCACAGCTAAGGACCAAGCGGAACCTACATATAAAATTTGAGAAAGATCCCTCTGGTACTTCTTGAGAAATAGTGATAACAAACTTTCACTATCAAAATCCAAGATGGCTGCCTGTCGGCCATGTTGTTTATCCGATCAGTCTCAAAAGTTGCCCTGCACAACAGCTAAGGACCAATGGGAACCTACTTATAAAATTTGAGAAAGGTCCCTCTGGTACTTCTTCAGAAATACCGATAACAAGAATTGTTTAAAGACGGACGACGGACGGCGGACGACGGACGGACCACGGACGCAGGGTGATTTGAATGGGCTAAAAATTCAACAATGCAATCAACATGTCTTCAGTTAGGAATAGTATCCTGATGACATGGGCTTTGTTCTCAGTTTTAAGCCAATTGGCAAACACAGGCACATCTGGCATTCCAATCGAATAGCAAATCGAACTTGAATAATGGTCAATCCCATCCACTTGGGGATTATGGTCAATTCTAGCTACTGCTTTGGCCTCATTACAAGCCCGAGAATCAATAGCCTGTATACCACCGAGCAGACCCAGATGGATGCTGGCCAAACAAAATCTATAGCATCCCTCCTCCGTACTCATCTGTACAATATCAAAGTGACTGGAACTTGCAAGGAGCCTTCAGACAAGTAGTCCAATCAATTTCCTGCTCAAAATCATCATCTAATAATGATGCTATCTCATACATAACTGCCCCTTTCCTAATACTGTATGTCTATGAATGTCCGAGTGATATTCAAACCTTACTCCACTTATCATGTGAATTTGTAGTAGAGCTGGAATCATATTCTATGTAATGCCAAAAAAAATGTTGTTTTTTTTTTTTTTTTAAATCCTTCGCTTAAAGCACCATACAGGTTTCTTAATATGTAACTAGTGAAGTCAACATGCCTTCTTATAGGTTTGATATTAAATAAAACAATGTAATGTTTCCTAAAGATTAACTGATGGATCATATTATACAACCTCTAACACTGCTTCAATCCTAACAATTTAATCTTACTACACAGACTTCAGACTTTTTTTAATCATACAAAATATGAAGCTTTTATTAATCATACAAAATATGAAGCTTTTATTAATCATACAAAATATGAAGAGAAAATTTGGAAAAGCCATATAACTGATTATTGGAACACATCACTGTCCACATTCTGCATCACAGCAATGTTGCTGACCAACAATGCTCAAAACTATAAGTACATTTTATAAAATAAATATCTCCCTAAGAAAATTTCCAATAGCTCATACGAACTGACACTTCAAACTACATTTAAACCATACAAATATGTAAACAGGAAGTAAGCTGAGACACGCATCAGCATGTTAACAGGAAGTAAGACTCACCATAGTCATCTCTGTACAGCAACAACACACACAAAACCTGATCAATCTTTGTAATCCTTAGTCGCTTTTCCTTTCAGTACATCCACAGCATAGAGAAAATTGACAATTCAATAAAACTATTCTTAGATCAATTACTGACAAATATGTAAATGTTTACTTCTATCCTCTCATTCAGCACCATAAATAATCCTAACAGACCAAGAAATGATTATTGAATTGCCAATTAACTTAAAGAGAAGAAAATATATGTTCATGTGTATGTAGGTACATCCGCTGAATCACACTGCATATAATACTACTTAATCACTAGGGGCCCTCCTCACATATTACACCGTCATAATTCGACAAGTTTTACAAGTGTCCAGCATCACATGTGGGTCTGACGTGGGTGCTGGCGTCCTATCAATGAACAGGAAGAGCAACACCGACAAATCAGCACAACAGTCATCAGTTTCCACCCTCCACTCAAAGAGATATGTCAACAGTAGATCAACTAAACCTTTCTAACAGAACTCCCAAACCTGGGGCCAAGCAAATTCAAGTCAGACACAAAAAAATTGCTTGAGGGTATATGTTCCTGTCAGAGTCAAAAAGTTCATGTGACAGACATCTATCTTGAGGGTGGGCAAAGGAATGGCTAGCTAGCCCCTGGTCACATGTGGTTGGCCCGACTAAGGGTCTGAGTAATGAGCGGACATGACAGTGTCCCTAAACTATGTTCTATACAAGTTGTCTAAGTGTGCAATTCTCCAAACTTTGGCCTGTCAGCTAAGTATGGCCCTCCTGTCGGGCTGTAGCCATGCAATCCTAGTCTCTCAGCCACTTGTCAGATGTGAGACTGGTATTAATTGCCGACAATAATCATATTTATATGCACATAGGATTAATATACAGACATGGTCCCGTTGGTAGAACACTTGACATATTGTTTCAAAAGAAAGGATGAGGAGACATACTTTCTCACAATTGAAAGCAATAAACCAAAGTTCAAGTTGCTGTCTAAGTTTTGACACATGTTGCTGCGTATATATATATTCTCACCTAATATGTAACTTTTAATTCTATATAACCACAGCTCTTCTTAAAATTTAATCCAAATATTGGTATCAACTATGTTGGCTTTGTCTCTAAAGCCATCAAGGCTTTGATCTATAGTCACGATACATTAACTTATAATTCTGTTTACCATTGCTTTATCGGTTCCCTTTAGCAATGAATTTGCCTTGTCATTTTCATTTTATAAAACAATGCTTTAACCATATTATTTACTTTTATCATTGCTTAAATCTCACAACTGCACTAACCTCATCATTTACCGTTGCTTATCTTTTAACATTGTTCGAACTTTGTCATTTTCTACTGCTTCTTGTCTTTATCCTTTTGTTTACCTTTACAATTGCAAAAACTTTCTGTAGCCATTTTTTACCTTACTATTGCATAACCAACAGTTGCCATTTACATTACTTTTGCATTATCTACAGTTGCCATTTACCTTACAATTACATAACCGACAGTTGCCATTTACCTTACAATTGCATTACCAACAGTTGCCATTTACATTACTTTTGCATTACCAATAGTTGCCATTTACCTTACAATTGCATAACCAACAGTGGCCATTTACATTACTTTTGCATTATCTACAGTTGCCATTTACCTTACAATTACATAACCAACAGTTGCCATTTACCTTCCAATTGCATTACCAACAGTTGCCATTTCCCTTACAATTGCATTACCAACAGTTGTCATTTACCTTACTATTGCATAACCAACAGTTGCCATTTACATTACTTTTGCATTATCTACAGTTGCCATTTACCTTACAATTACATAACCGACAGTTGCCATTTACCTTACAATTGCATTACCAACAGTTGCCATTTACCTTACAATTGCATAACCAACAGTTGTCATTTACCTTACAATTGCATAACCAACAGTTGCCATTTACCTTACAATTGCATAACCAACAGTTGCATTATCTACAGTTGCCATTTACATTACAATTGCATAACCAACAGTTGCCATTTACCTTACAATTGCAAAAACCTACAGATACCATTTACCTTACTATTGCCTTTTCCAAAAACAGCAGAAGGCTAATGAAGTGTTATTATTCATTTATTACCTTTACAATTGTTTTGTATGATCAATGAAATAGCACTGATACAAGTTGATATTGATTTATATCTGTAAATTTTCATGCTCTAATGAGACCTAATTATAATGTAATAAATCTATTATGGCCCTTTCTCTGAGAACAGTCTTCTGATAGTCCATGTTGACGGGGGGGGGGGGGAATAGAAGTCATTTTCTTTCACGTTAACAGCAACATTTACTTCTGTCTTTTGTAAATCGACTATTGCCTTTACCACTAAACTGTCTATAAATAACAACTCGATACTTTCTCAAATTGCCAGTATGGGCGTAATTAGTACTTGCTCATTGCCTTCCAAATTTTCCAGTGGAAATGCCTGTTCTGTCCATATCAATTGTCTGAACTACTGCCAGGTGAAGTGTGGCAGTGTTTTATAAGCCTGGTTGGACAATGGACAGGCTGATAGTTATGTATTGTGCTGGAGTCCAAGGTCAGACAACTGGTGTTGACATGTGGATGAGTGGTTTATGACCTTCATTTAGTCATTGACCTCTGTGCTGGATGTATTAAGTACAGCTAGAGCTAGGGCTGTCACTTACACCAGGGCATGCAACACTTGCAGATTTAAATGGGTTTGACAACATAGAAGAATGCCTGTCAAGTAAAGAAGGAGACATTTATGTTATTGGATTCCCTGTGAAAAATTTAATAAAAATATTCAAATAAATAAAAGTATTGATCGAGATGAAAAAAAGAAGGCTTTGATAAATTATTATTTCAATTTGTTTGCCTGCCCATTTATTTATCAATCATGACCTAACTGCTCCTACATGTATGCTACAATATAGCACTGTATTTCTTTGCTTAGTACCATCATTCCTTTTGTAACTTGGTGAACTCTACCACTGTGTTAGATAGATCAGTACCTGGGAAGTAACACTAGATACCTGGAGATATCCTCCTATGTACAAATACTCAGGTGTTCTTCAGCTATATAATATATGACTTGTCTTCAGAGCCAGGAGTAAACACAACAGCCCTAGTAATTTATTTCATATCAAGTTCTGACCTCTGATCTGATACTGTAAGTGACCTTTGTCCTCTGACCTCTACCTCCAATATGCTGAGATTAATAGGTGTGGCTATGTATCAAGTGACAGGTTGTCCTCTTACACCTGTAGCACTTACTTTCAATTTTCTTCCTCACACAGCTTTAAGGATTATTTATACCATACTTAATGGAATTATCACCCACAGGTTTGAACACATCCTATTTTTGTTTTACCTAGGTAACCAGTATATTCCTAAAGCAGTCTACACTTAATACATGCACAGCCCCGAGGAAAGTCAATGTAGTAAATTTTGCTGATAAACACCCACAGACTGCTTGTTTTCATACACAGCCTCCAAACTATATTACCATTTATACGCTATACTAACTAAGTACACTACCATTTCTACACTACACAGAATAGTGTGTACAGATAGACACACCCTACAGCTGTACTGCCACCCCAAAAAGGTGGTTCAAGTGTGACCAAAGTTACATGTCTGGTGTTTATTACCCATCACAGCACACAATGCCACATCTGTCTTTATTCCTTTACCTCAATGCTCATCATTTTTTTTTAATTCTTCATGACTCATCTGCTCTGATGCTGGTATTCTGGAGTATTTTTTCTCTTTATTTTATCAAATTAAATTGTGAACTTCCTGATTAAAAAGCTTCATAATTTCCTGACACAGTACAGGATTGATTTAGCCAACCATTAGTGACCCACATATTTACAGTATTTGACATAATAAACACTTTCTGCAGTTTTCAAACAGCCTATATACGAGAAATTGTATGGCATTGTTCAATTACTGGAAAGCTGAACAAAACTTTTTTCCTTTTTACTTTATTTTCCTTTTCATAGTTTCCTGTGATATAGTTTTAATTTTTGTACAGAGCCATACATCTGATGAAAGAAGAGAATGGTGGTATATGGTTTTGCTGTAGTTAAAAAAGTTAAGAATACAGCTATGAATGACAAAAGTTGTTAACTGCAGAAGGATAATAAATACCACCCTAACATATATATCTCAATTCATTATTAACATTCCCACATGAATATTTTTATTTGCATAAAGATACATCAAGCATCGTTACCTTCAGTAAATATCACATTCTTAAAAAAACCTAGGTATATTAGAAGAATCAAATGAGCTCTCAAACTCGAAGTCATTTCTCAGTAAAATGTCTATTGATTATGTTAATCTTTTACATTTATTTCTGATAAAAATAGAAGCAGCAGCTGTCAGATACCATGTTAACAGTTCACACAAAGAAGGGAGAATGTGAGGTATATCTGGTGACGGATGCCTACATTAAACAGTTATAAGTACACTGACTTCATCTTATTTTAATGGAAACAAAAAGCGCACATTGTATAACAGTGAAGATGAGATCTACTGATGTTATATGTGATCATATCACAACCACCCTGCATTATAATATAGTTATCTAAATGGTACGAAACCCATTTAAGGTAGAATCTCTGTAGAGATATTGACAACACCAAACTGCACACAAGAGATTCATAGTTAAGGCCTAATCTTCTCCTCTACCGTCAAGCTAAGAAATCTTTTTGTTTAGAAAAGCATCCATATCTGCAGTTAATAAATGAGTTTATTTGTTAGAGTGTTGTCTCCAGGACTAAAAAACCACTTTTGTTGTTTTGTTCAAAACTAACACACAACTGCATCAACATTTGACTTTTGTAGTAGTGTGAAAGCATTCCAGATTCCATTATTTTACTTTCATACAAAGCGAAAGTATTATTTTACTTTCATAGAAAGCGAATGACGTGTACTTTGTGAAGTATTATTTAACTTTCATACAAAGCGAATGACGTGTACTTTGTGAAGTATTATTTTACTTTCATAGAAAGCGAATGACATGTACTTTGTGAAGTATTATTTTACTTTCATACAAAGTGAATGACGTGTATTTTGTGAAGTATTATTTTACTTTCATACAAAGCGAATGACGTGTACGTTGTGAAGTGTTATTTTACTTTCATACAAAGCGAATGACATGTACTTTGTGAAGTATTATTTTACTTTCATACAAAGCGAATGACGTTTACTTTGTGAAGTATTATTTTACTTTCATACAAAGTGAATGACATGTATTTTGTGAAGTATTATTTTACTTTCATACAAGGTGAATGACGTGTACTTTGTGAAGTATTTTTTTACTTTCATACAAAGCGAATGACGTGTACTTTGTGAAGTATTATTTTACTTCATACAAAGTGAATGACGTGTATTTTGTGAAGTATTATTTTACTTTCATACAAGGTGAATGACGTGTACTTTGTGAAGTATTTTTTTACTTTCATACAAAGCGAATGACGTGTACTTTGTGAAGTATTTTTTTACTTTCATACAAAGCGAATGACGTGTACTTTGTGAAGTATTTTTTTACTTTCATACAAAGCGAATGACGTGTACTTTGTGAAGTATTATTTTACTTTCATAGAAAGCGAATGACATGTACTTTGTGAAGTATTATTTTACTTTCATAGAAAGCGAATGACATGTACTTTGTGAAGTATTATTTTACTTTCATACAAAGCGAATGACGTGAACTTTGTGAAGTATGACAATAGTTTG